TTTTTGGAAATAGGTAACCTTTACTAATTCCTCCCCTCTCCTCCTCTTTGATAATTTGCACCATATCTCTTCAGTGATGGAATTGACTAATATTGTTGTCTTCCCCTAAGGCTGCTTAAAGGCTCTGAATTCAAAGAGAAAAGAAGACATTGGTACTGTGATTAAGGCTTCAACCCAGCCAGGTGGGTTGTATGCACGGGCTCCTGACTCCAAGGCAGCCCTGTGCTCTTTGCAGGAGCAGGACTTAAGTTACTGTTGGACAACAGGTAGGTGCCCTAACTAACAGTAACGGATGACCCCAGGTCAGTTTCCAAAAGACAAGAGTCCACCTGAGGACTCTGTTACAACATGCCATGCTGACAGTGGTCTCAGGAGAGAAGCCAAGGACTGATGGGACAAGGAGACTGAATTACTACTTAGAGGTGATCCCTCCAAACTGGAACTGAGGCACAATGGATAGAGGTCCTCAGGCTCCCTGGCTCTCAATCCAGTATCCAGTTAAATTAAGAATAAGCCATTCCCTAGTATGGAGGCACAATTTCAAAACCAAACTAGGCTTCAGTTCAGCCCCAGGCAAGCCGAATGAATGAGCCATTGTCAGAAATCACAGAAGCAGGATCCATGCACACACTGTCTGGTCCTGAATCTTGGACAGCAGCACCGCTCTGAGCCAGTCCCCCTCTGGAATATACATCCCCCCCGGTGAGAGTCGTGCAATCCCAGCGTTTCAGTCGGGAAGGGGGAAGAGACGGAGGGATGGTGGCTGCGGGCAGCCGGGGCGTGTTTCCCCAGCTCCGCTGCCCTGGTGACTGCCCACCTCCCTCCCCTGGCCGCTGTCAACACAGAGAAAGGACCAGACAACTAACAGCCATGAACCAGCCTCGTTCAAACCCCGGAGAAGGCAGCCAGGCAAAGGCACCATCCCCAGCAGCTCTGCACGTGTGCTGACCCGGGTACCCCCAGTCAGCCCTAGGGGCACCCAGCTGCAAACACCTACCTGGGGCCCCGCAGCAGGTCCTGCCGCGCACCGATCCCGGGGCAGCCCACGCGGGGAGGACTAGCTGCACAGCTAGGGGCCGGGCGCACGATGCTCCCCACCGGCCGCGGATCCTCCTCCTCTCTGTGCCGGTCCCTCCCAGCTGCGGTGCACCAGCCAGCAGGACAAGTGGGGGGTGGAGAGGGAGGAGGAGACCCAGAGCTGCAGCCTCGGGTGCCTGGAGCCCCCTCCCGCTGCAGGGAGGCAGGGCCGGTGGGATAACGGGCCCTGCCCAGCCCCGCCCGGAAGAGGAGGAGACAAGGCAGCAGAAGAGCGGAGAGGTGAGGCTGGATGACAGCTGCTAGGCGTGTCAGGTTTGCTGGAGCCCCCGCAGCATCCCACTGGGACAAGCAGCTGGAGGGGAGGCTGTGGTTTTCTCTCACCCAGGTAACCAGTTCAGCAGGTTGTCTCGCCCTGTGGCTGCGGGAATGGGAGTCAGGTCTAGAGGAGGGGATGCACGGGAAATGCACATGTAACCCACATGCTTACAGTACAGCATTCTTGGGGGTGGTGTGCTAAGTCCAAAGAAAGGGACGGAAGTAAGGTGACTAGACAGCAAATGTGAAATATCGGGACGGGGGTGGGGGGTTATAGGAGCCTATATAAGAAAAAGACCCAAAAATCAGGACTGTCCCTATAAAATCGGGACATCTGGTCATCCTAGACAGAAGCAGGGGGGAGAAGAGATGGAGTTTTAGTTGAACCCTGCTGGGTGTCAGTGGCACAGTGTGAATGCATGGGAATGAAATAACTGCACTTTTGTTGTGCTTCCCAGCAAAGGATCTCAAAACACTTTACAAAGACTGGCTAACAGAACCCCACATCCCCTCTGGGTGCTGTGCAGATGAAAGAATGAGACAGGAGTTCTGTGACTTTCTCAAAATCACACAGCAAATTAGGCATCAAATAGCTGGGAATCTCAGAGCTAGGTTTAAAAAAGAAAATAGGTTATCACAGTGCTGTTGGTCATCCTCATGGAAAAATTAAGGCAGGTCACACATTTTCTGTCACCATTGACTTTTGCTTAAACAAAGTTTTCCACGGAAAGCGTCTGTTAAACATGGAACATTCCGACTAGTCAATTTGGGGTCCAAACTTCTTGGTTTTCTTTTTTGATGAAAAGTCAAAATTTTCCATGGAGGAAAAATTTCTGCATAGCTCCATAAAAATATAAACATAGCTCAGGTTTAAGTGATGAATTTTGGAACAGGAGTGCTCTCATGTAAGCCTATTAGAAAATTCCAAATTTCAGAATACATTATGTGAATACATAAGTGAATAACTTATCTGCGAAAGATACTTCTAGCAAAGACAAGGGACTGGGACTATCTGGATACAATTCCAAGCTCTGCTACCAGGTTCTCATGTGACCACTCTCTCTACCTCAGTTCATCATTGGTCAAATGGGGATACTACTACTTCTCTACCTCACAGGAGTGCTGCCAGGATAAATTCATTAATATGCAGCTAGTTTCAGCTACTACAACATCAGGTGGCCTAAGGACATTGACTGATAACTAGAAGAGTTCGATAACCTCTGGATTTGTCACCAGAAAAAACCCCAACACCAAACTTAAAATTTTTATTTTCAGATTGGACAACATGAGCTTCCACAATGCCGAGCTAAAACAGGGAAGCTCTCTCCTCTTCTCACACAATATGCCATGACAGCTATCACAGCACAAGGACTTGGCCTTGATGATAAATTCATAAAAGGTGGAAACACTATTTTGCCATGCTGAATTTGCAACATTTGGGTTCAGAGTGAAGTCTAACCCAGCCACTTTGGTCTAGGTTGTTTTTTTGCCCTAATTTTACCCCTTTAAGAGGTCCCTTTAATTGGAGGGAAAAACCCCACATCATCTGTACCCTATATACACACAAGCCAATAGGGTTGTTTTGTGTCAAATATTTCAAATATTTGTGTCAAATATTTCAAATATCCTCTGTGCAGAGGATCAACCATGATTATAGAAAGTACAAACCTCCTCTGTCAAATTCCCAGTCAAAATACCAGTTTTTTGAGACAGCGATCTTTACACCCTGCCAGCCGGCAGCGTGCAGGGGAACTATCAGAGTCTTAATGACTTTGAGGAATCTAACCTTAAAATTAAAATTCCTCTGACTTTAATTAGACCTGCACATTGCTCAGCACCTTTCAAAAATCAGGTCTCTTATTTTGGCGCATGAGTAAAGATTCAAAGGCGATTTAGGCAATCACCACATACACATACCCACACCCTCCCATACCTTCGCCCCCGATAGATGTGTGTCTATGCATGACCATGCTTTCTGGAGATGACGGTTCAAAAATTTGCAGCAGCAATTTTTCTTTAATAGTTATAGAGCAATTATTTCTTAAGCAGCCACATTTATAGGCATTCATTGGCATTCTTAGCTGTAGTGTAATAGCATGGTAGATTTTTTTTTTTACTTAGATTGTAAGCGCTTTGGGGCAGAGATTATCTTTTTGTTCTGTGTTTGTACAGCACCTAGCACAGTGGGGTCCTGGGTCCAGAACTAGTGCTCCCCCCATGCAAATCATAATAAATAATAAATAAAAAATTCAGTTACAATAGAATGAGTGTCATTTTTGCAGTGTGACTGAACTGGTTGTTTTTAGTAGTGTTTTACCATGCATTCCACTTGCCTTTTATGATCAAGGAAGTTTCATGCCAGTAGGTTCAAGCACTAGAAAACCTAATTTTGGCATAACACATCCGTTCTTTGCCCTTGACAATATCTCCATGATCAGTGGCAGAATCCGTTAATCCAACCTTTAGTCCTTGTACAACTAACTCAGTGTGTTCACTGAATTGTACAAGCAAATTTACCGCACTGAGTGTTTTGTTGTTTTTCTTTCTAAATATATTAACACAAAGCTCTGCCATTGCATAGTAATATGGCTGTTTTGTTGAGGGACAGCAGGGATAGGATACAGGGACGGTATAGAATGCCCTACCGTGGGTAGTAACGTGGCCAAGCCTGTTTTTTGGAAGCTAAGCCATGTCCGTAATGAAACAGTTCTTTTCTCTGCTGATAACATCAACTAGCTCACTTGGGTTCCAGTAACCGTACACATATTTGATGTAATTAGTGGAGAAAATGTTTTACTGATGGCAAAATCATATCATGAGTCTGTATACCAACATACTACAGGACCCTTGTCTTTTAACACTGCTTAGGGTGACCAGATGTCCCAATTTTATAGGGACAGTCCCGATATTCAGGGCTTTTTCTTATGTAGGTGCCTATTACCCCTCACCCCCTGTCCCGATTTATCACACTTTCTATCTGGTCACCCTAACACTGCTTCAGGTTCATTCCCATAATTTCCACTACATGTAAAGTTTGTCCCATGGCCTTTTAGGTATTTGGAATACATTTAAACTTTTCCTCTCTAATGTCTCAGGAACTATGAGCTGCTTTCTAGCAGCTCTACAGCATGTTATTAATGACGGTGACCAGGAAAAGGGAACAGATTGAAATCTTTGGAAAATGAGCGGTGGGTTCCAGCATTTGATTTGCAAGAATTAATATGCCATTGCAAGAAATAAGAGCCCACTGCCTCCAGAAACACTTTGGTCAGCATTTCATGTAGTTCAGACTTTTAAGTCTGCACATTCCCACTGACTCTGCTTTGGGCTGCTGTTGCACAGTTCAGGTCCAGTTCAGCAGGCCCCAATGCAGCCTTTTTCCATTTCCTCCATTGCCCAAGGCTACTAGGAAATCCAAATAAGAATGTTTAACTTCCAAATGAGACAGATGCCAAGAGCAAGTGTTCTACATATAATATTGCTGGCACACCTTAAAAGTCCAATTGCTGTTCTTCATTCAGCTGAGCTTCCACAAAAAACAAAGTCGAATGACGTGTGCTTTATCGCAAGCCACACTACCGTGTAAAGTATGCAAAAGAAAATCAGACAAAGTAATTTTAGAAAAAAGAGGTATCGCATGTCTGTGCAAATACACTGACTTTTATTTGAAGGTCAACCATTTTAGTCATTAAAATGGTGCAGACTATATTAATAGAGAAATGTGATCATCTCTTCATTATTTGCCTTTCGTACTGTGAATTTCCATTGAAAACTTCAGCTGAAAGTTTCATAAGTCACAAGCTCCAGCCTCCATCAATGATAAGCTCATTGCCAGTCATGTAGGCAGTCTGAAATCATAAGAGGAAGAGTAACTGTCATTTATTACTAATAAACAGAGGAAAAGGCTAACAATTATTGAAGTCAATTTAACAAAAACATTTCCTCTATCTACAAACAGTCCTTTAATCTCCACAAATACAACAGTGGCTCTGAAAATTTCAAAGGATTAAGAACCTTAAAAACTAAAACCTTTTAGCTACCACATTGGGCGGTTGCAAAGTGACAAATCATCACATGGCTTTAGGACTTCTGACTCTTACAGATGGTAGGCACAAATGTGTCACGGAGGGACCAAATGAATGCTCAGAAGGTGGAGTTATGACATCTGGCCTGCAGCCATATCACTTGGCACTGAGAAATCATTACTTCTCATAGGCTAAGCAGGGTCTGACCTGGTTAGTAAGTTAAAGGAGCAATCTACAAGAAAAACCCAGATGGTGGAGGAAGTGGTGTTGTTGATTGAGTAGGGGGCGCTCTTTCCTCTGGATCAATACCAAACCATATTGAGTTCAGAGCTAATACTGAAGTCCTGACCACATATGGGCAAAGATCCAATTAATAATAAGCTCTACCAATAATATCAGACTGATAGGTTTAGTCTGTGTGTGGCCAACATGAACTTTGAGAAAGTGACAATTGATAGAAATATTGGGACACTTTCCTCAAGCGATTCTGCGGGGCTCAGAAAGATTGTCCCGACTACTGGGCAATTTCCATGGCATCTAGTCCTATTACGTGTGCTGTTAAACTACTGTTGGTGCTATTTGTGGCCAGGTTTGGGTCTACTATGTGCCCTGTGCCCTTACTATATCCTCTGGATGTAGCCTCTCTAGACGGGGAGGGTTTGTAGTTCAGACATTTGTAGCAGAATGATATGTTCCTGCATCTTCATTTTACATCATCACTTGAGGGTGACTGATTGTTTTGAGGATGATTATGGCCCCAAAGCTATAATTATTATTTATCCTTTCCTGAGAGATCTGTCTCACCCAAACATTTCGTTGTTGCATACTGTATTCAGGTTACAGATCCACTGACCCTAGTGTACTGAAGGTGGTGTCACCTGTGGTGGAAGCAAAGCAACTTTGTGGGGGCAATGGGAAAGGACTCCATACCACCCAGCCCCCCATAGAACTGTGCCATGCACAGCCAGTTTGTTCAGAATGCATGCAATGTCCAGAATATGGTCCTCAGTAAATAATAACTTAACCTTCACTTTCACTGCCCGGAAATAGTTCACTGTTTGTATCTTGGGCTAGACTCAAAGTATGTCAGTCTTCTATTACTGCAGTAATCTGTCTCCAAGACTGTGTAAGCGTCTGCAAAATAGCTTCCCTCTACTGAGAAGCCACAAGATGGGGTGGGATTCTGTGGTTCACAACAGATTTTGTTGTACAGTACTTACTTCGTCAGAGGCCAGATACACAAAGAGGTGGGCCACTTCTTCAGCAGTAGCCATCCTACCAGTCTTCTGTCTAGCCAGAAAGTCTTTCAGGGCCTAGAGATACCAGAACATTCCATGCATCACCGCTACACACTGAAATATGTAGCCATGATGACTTTGTGCTACATTAAAAAGCTATGTGGTCAGACGGCCACAAGCTCATAATATGATTACTGTGCAGATAGTACATATAATGCCCAAAGAAAACACTGGCTGGGTGACTTAGGGTACATCTTCACAGGGATAAAAAATCGTGGCTAGCCTAGGTCAGCTGACAGAGGTTCACAGGGCTTGGGCTCCCGGGCTGAAAAACTGCTGTGCAGACTTTTGGACTTCGGCTAGAGCCTCAGCTCTAGAGGACACTGTGAGCCCGTCGTCTGACCTGGGCCAGTCATGGCCATGCTGTGGGTCTTTTATCCCTATGCAGATAATACCATTAGTGGTCTAAGCTTCAGAGTTGCAGAACACTTCAGTACCCTGGAACCAGCGGTTTAAATTCCAGTAAGGTCGACTCAGCCATTTCTCCTTTTGCAGCAGACAGAATTCTGTGCAGAGGTCCTGCAGATGAGAACCTAAGACCTCAGCTGAGTGTTTGCCAAAATTTTCCTCTCCTTCACTGTTGTGTAGTTTACTGCACATCAGTTTGTTGCTGCCATATGTCCAAGAAGTGGCTGTTTTGTATTGGTGCTGTAGACATAGTATATGATTGTAAAATATTTGGGAAGTCGGCAGGATGAAATGCACTGTGGTTTTCTTTAGCATAGTGTCATGGAAGGACCTGCTGATGCCACTCTGAGCACCAGGTGACCAAGCAGCCAAAGCACAATCACTGCTGTTGCTAGTCTTGAATACTGAGATTTAGGCAGAAATGCTGTTCAGTTTTACCCAAATTCTTTAACATAATTTAAATTTGTGCATGCACACAGCTAAGTAGCCTGCTTACCTGTTCTGGGTTGGACCTGGCTTGGATCCTCTCCCGTAGAGATGGAGTGTCAACAGTTCCTATGCAAATGTTCAAAATTTAAAACAAATACTCCACCGTACTGAACGTGAGCAGTCATGACAAAGGACTTCATCACCATTAATCCTGTTATTTATACACTGCCATGGCTGCATAGCACTTCATAACAAGATTGGGATAAAGTTTTCAAAAGGGTCTAAAAGATTTAGGACTCTAAATCCCACTGACTTTCAATGAAGGACAGACTCTTAAGTGGCTGAGAGTCATTTCTGAAAATGGAACTTAGTAGCCTAAGTCATAGAAGTGCTTTTGAAAAAATGTTACCCACAGCTAACAAAAAAAATGAGCAACATCCCTTCCTCAGTGTTTACAGTCTAAAACTATGAATGGAAATAGCAAAATGTTAAAACTGCCTCACTATTCTGGATAGTGACAAAGAGAATCTTTATACTGATAGTAATCTACGCAAGAGGACACTAGCTGATTTATTATCATAAAGTATTTTTATGGCAGCTCACTTCCTTAAGCAATTTTACTGTGCTGATCATCACCAGGGAGAGGTGATGCAGCTTTGTTTGATGCCACCGAACGTTCACAAATTAGAATACAAATCAATAGTTCAAAAATAGATTGTGGCATTCTCTTGGCTTAGAGAGATACTATAGTCATACAACGTGGACTTCTAGTTACCTATCCCAGGATATCCTCCCATTCCATTGCAGTGACTAGGCACCTATGTGGAGAAAGATCAGCACAAGAGATGGGGTTTCATTTGAACTGAGGGGGCGTAGAGATTACCACTAGTTTGAGATTAGCTTTTAATTGCAGAGAGTTTCGGAAATGGTCCTTGATTTGTGTAGTATTTTATTTCTCTCCAATGTTGTTGTGAGTGGGGAGGAATGGAATTAAGTGGGAAATCAGTATTGTGATGAAGTAGCCAATACTTGAGAACTCTCTGGGGATAGCTTCAACCTTTATATTCCAGGCATGTGTTTCATCTCTGGTCTGAGATGATCTTCGGCTTGCACAAGAGGTTGCACAGAAAGAAATTCTTAATTCTGCCAGGTTACAAAAACTCCCTATTAAGATCTTCTACAGCAGCAGGACTAGCTTTCTCCCTTGGCATTAGCAAAGAAGTTAGCTTTTGCTTGGCTGCTCACGTAACACCAACAGACCCCGGTCGTCGGTGGGCGGGATCTAACCTGGGGCCTCTGGAGCTTAGTGCATGAGCCTCTACTGCATGGGCTAAAAGCCAACTGGCTATTAGCTATGGCTGTAGAGCAGACTCATTTTCTCTCTCTCTCAGTGGTCTCGGTTCCACTAGATGGGACAGAACACCTCACCCAGGAGGTGTGTGGGTTACACTCACACTTACATCATCCAGGTGCTCTTTGATGTGGGTTTGCTGCTCAGCTTTGAGCACTCATGCATAGAGAGGAAAGCCTTCCACAAAATTACCAGTGCTTGATTTGGCCAATTAAAAGTTATTTTAAGGGGGAAACAGTCCTCCAAGATTGCCTCATTCCTCCTTTCTGTTGCCCCTCTTTCCCAAAGTACCACTCCCCTCCCATTGTGCAGATCTATTCCCTGTGTCAAGGAGGAAGGATGAAGCACCTTCTTGAATCGGTGTTGGTTTCGTCAGTTGGCTATAGAGGCACTTTAGACCAATGTAAGGTGCTCCTTCCACACCATGGACTGAACATGCTGCTTCTCCCAGGCTCCTAGGCTCTAGTAAGTGGGTAACATGTTTGTTAATTATTAAAAGGTGATGCTGGTGGGATGTGAAGAACCATGCACAATTCATGATGTGCAAAGAGGTCTGCAAGTTTTCTGATTTCTCACCCAGAGTTTCACCCCAAGTCCTATATGAAGAAACCCCCAAAGCTCAACAGGAAACTCAGATGAAACCACACAGTTTATGCCTGTTTTCAAGTTGAAAAGACATTGAGTTTTGCATGGCTGCAGCGGAAACCCCAAACTGGCTTAAGGTCACTCAGAACAGTACCAGTGTTTTACATATGGTTTGGGGGACTTACTTACACAGGCCCCGAGCACCTAGAACTCCAAGTGAAATGAGAGGAAACAGCTGATGCTCATCACCTATGAAAATCAGGCCTTTTGTCCGATTTTGCCAGTTTGGGGTTTAATGAAACCCCACCGCAAATTACTATTAAAATATATATTCACAGCTCTAGTTTGGATGCTTAAAAATAAAAAGCAGGTTAGATTTGGTAGGTGTGCACGGACACGCCTGTGGTATGTGTCCTTGTGGTTGCCGCTGCCGTACTAACTTCACTACACTCTCACCAGGCATGCCAGCCCACCTCACTGGCTTTTACATCACCCGGATCTAGTCACATCCAATTTTGTCTCACAACAGCAAGACATCAGGAATGAGGCAATCGTACTTTCAGCATTCCTAATCAGCAACCAAAAGCACCATTTCCCCCTTCGTCCCCCAATCTGCTTCTCTAAGTTGCAACTTTCACGTCCAAATAATAACTGGTATAATACACCATCAAGATACTCTGAGCATATGTAGGTGTGCTTTTATAGGCCACAGAGATTGGACTGCTATAAAAATAGCAATTCTTAATTTTACATTTCAGGAAATGCCAGAAGAAAGTCTTAAATGTGGTTTCTCCCTTGACTGCTGATGCCTTCAGCGGCTGTTTGCAGGTGGTTGGGCTGTTTTCAAGTTTCATTTTCTATCAACAACCTCAAACTAAATCTGGCGCATTAAGTAGGCCAGGTGGCGTGTAGCTTTGAGCTAACGCTAAAGACAAACCTGTGTTTTTTCAGTGTCAGCTCCAAGTTTACAAAATGCTGCAAGGACTTACTTACCCGGACATATGCAGTTGCATCTGATGCCTTTTTCAATGAAATCAGCAGCTACAGACTTGGTTAGACCAATAACTGCTGCCTTTGAAGTGCTATAGACACATCGGTTTACAACTCCTGAAAGAAGAGGTTAGTATTAGGGTAACACGAAGACCAAAGAAGATGGTCACATTCCCATATGGATCTGCTTTTGGGCTCTAGAATTTTCTGGATGGCATCTTCTTGAGCAGAGGCTGAATGACAGGCTGGCTAGAGTGCTGATTGCTAGACAAAGGAATCCGCATGAGTAGAGTGCCGTTCAAGAACCAGGATACAGCAATGTACTGACCAACAGCACAGAATGAAAATATCTGAGGAAGTAGCCTAGGAAGTTTATTTTAAAAATTGCATAAAGATTTATAAAGGAAAGGGAACGATCTGCCCCTCACACACAGAGCTCTTGTTGGGTAACCCTTATGCAGTTGGTACTAAGGAAGCAGTGAAAAACAAGAAAAATGATATATGTGGCATGGTACCACTAAATGAGGCAATAAATGGTATCAGTCAAGGTTGCTTGGGTAACCTTCAATCTCCCCTTCCTCCCCCCCCCCCCCCCACCCCCCCCCCCGGTCTTGTGCATATTCATTATTATATGGTCTTTAATTACATGACCATATACTGTTTTTTCCACAGTACCCCTACCTCATTCACGCACAGTGGATAGTGCTCACTGGATGGGCAGCTATTCACAATTTCTTTCATCCTGATCATCCAAACCTGTGGCTCCATGCCTTATTTACTGCATGCCATGCAAACTTGCCCTGAACACAGAATTTTTAATTTACTCATTGGCTTTTCTATGGTACGGTCATTGTAGCAACCTAGTTCTTTACAAAGATTAATCAATATTTCTTTGCACAAAACCCCAGTGAGGTGGTATCATCATCTCCATTTTACATATGAGGAACTAAGGCACAGAGATTAAAGCCAAACTGTCTAAAGTGTCACTTAAATGTTGGGTGCCCAATTGGAGGTGCCTAGGGCCTGGTTTTTCAGAGTACTTGGCATTTTATAGCACATCCTATGTTCAGAGCATAGCTCTGCCTGAGCTCAGTTGCAGTCGTGAGTGCTCAGCACTTCTGCAAATCAGGTGTCAAGTTGGGTACCCATAAAATGAGCAACCCACAGTGGCTACCTGTGCCCAGCATCATATAGGAATTCTGTGGCAGAGACTGGGTAGAATCCAGTTCTCCAGGGTAGCACTCAGCTTCCTAAACCACAGAGGAATCCTCTCCCTCATTCACTGCACCCTTCAACTTCTGCAGCAAATGAGGCAGGGGCCTTCCAGACAACAGCCTCCTTTGCGGCACAGCTCCATTTCATCCCCAGAGCACTGTCCACCCTGTTCACCGAATGAGGTGGGAGTCCTGTGAGAAAAACTGCATGTGATCATGTAATTAAAGACTACATCATAATGCTTATGCACAAAGGGGCCAAAAGAAGGTTGCATTTGTGTATTCAGTCCCATCTCTCCTAAAATAGGCACTTTCAAATTTGGACTCACGAAATATTATTCTACAGGTCCAGAATGTCAACCTTGGACACGACCTAGGAATATCGCAGGCACATATATGACAAAACAATCCTCTAGCAAGTCTATTACCTTTAATGCTGGATGCCACAGAAGACATGTTGATAATGTTTCCAGATTTCTGTGCAAGCATCTGCAAAAAAACCCCACAACCACCATCAAGCCATTCAAACAAAAGCTATTCTGCCGTATGGGGACTTGTTCTACCAGCCTTCCTCACATTAAGTGGTATTTTATTCCACAAGTAATTTCTCAGATTTGCAGGCCAAAATACTACCCCAAAGGGCAGCATTTGGCTCCTGCTTCACAGCTTTGAATTAGTAACCCAGTCAGGTCAGTCTTAAGTATGTCACATTTTGAGATCTCATTTTCATCAATAGTAATACCCACTTTTTTACTATGTACTCGTGGAGAACCTACCTATAAACAATGAATTAAACCTCAGAACCCTCCTTTGAGCTAGGTAGGTATTTTAGGATGGAGAAGCAAAGGATCAGTGACTGCAAAAGTCATATACCAAATCTGTGCCAGAGCTAGAAACAAAACCCCCTTTCCCCGATTCACAATTAACACAATTAATACTCGCTGGAACCGAGGGTTTCAGGAAAGTAGGGATTGGGATTGTATCATAATCACTGCAGGGTGCATCCTGTTCACTTTGGTGACAGCCATCCTTGGGCTATTTTGGCCTTGCAGTATGTTTCCTGTAAACACCTCAGCCTGTGGCCCATGAGTTTGGCCCAGAATGTGGTGGTTATGTCACAAACAGGAAGTATCCTCAAGCTATGGTATAATCATACAGGTGAGTTGTTTATCTAATGGGATGAGTACTCCCCTATTGAAGTAGCGTGTTGTCGATGGTATTGAACAGCTCTGCAAGATAGCTTCCTGTTGTGGGTATGGGGGAGAAGTCACACAATTACATCTGAATGTTTACAAATATTTTTGTAGAGACGGTGTAGCCTTATTGTCTGGGTGCGTGTTGTAGGGTATTGCTTTCCCATGCTCTCTGTTACTGCGCTGCATTTGAAAATGATTCTAAATACAAATTGTACAGTGTAAAAAACCCGAATTAACCCTCTCTACACACTAGTCTGAAAGGTTAGGCTCTAAATCAGGACTGCATTAAAGCAGTCCTCAGCACAATATGATATGAGGGCCTTCCATGGCCACATCCCCACATTTTCACCCACCGTCACGCTCTGATAGTGCCTATGACTTAATCCTGCCCATCTTGAAACACACCGCAATGTCTTTTACACTAAGGAGCATTGTAGACAGAGCCTTACCTTTGGAAGGAACGTCTTGATCATTAGATACATGCTGTGGACGTTGAGGTTCATTGTAAAGTTCCAGTCTGTCTCCTCACATTCCAGAATGGTTCCGTGATGGACAAAACTGGATTAAGTGCACAAAAAGCAATGGATTATTTCCTGTGCCTTTTCTGTATAATTTACATTTTTTCTCCTGCTCCTCTGGAATAACCCCTCCAATCAAGCAAGGTTGGACAAGACTCTTCAGAGGTTATAATGCAACATTCAGCTTGCACAAGTTTCCTATAACTAGTATATGTAGTTCAAGACAGTCACAATAAGCCACCATATGCATATGTAACCCACACACCTCCAGGGTGTGGTGTTCTGTCCCATCTAGTGACACAGACCACTTGGAGAGAGATAAAATGAGTCTGCTCTACAGTCTTAGCTAACAGCCAGTTGGCTTTTAGCTCATGCGGTAGAGGCTCATGCACCGAGGTCCCAGGTTCAATCCCGCCCGCTGACAACCGGGGTTTGTTGGTGTTACACATAGATAAAGATTTGGTAATAGGCAGAACTAGTCATAAAAAAAGGGTGTCCCTGAAATCATCCATCAAAATTATTGGTCAAAAATTGACATTTGAAAAATCTCAGTGACCGCTAGTACTGTATAAAGATATTTTTATTTTGATTTATCTTTTCCAAGTTAAAAAACAATGTATGATGTGAGCTCTCCAGTTCTGGAGAAGATAATGGCTTTATCACCAACATATCCAATGAGGTGGTGATGAAGGGTGCCTGAAAGAAAGCCCTTGAAGCCGAAGGCCTCTCTCTGCAGAACAGGAAGAACACAGACAGTGTTACACTCTCCCCCCACTGGTCTGCCACTAGTGGTGAGAATGTAAGTCAGTCTCCAGAGCCAATGAGTATGCAGACACCAGAAACACCTTTGTGAAACGGATATACAAAAAAATCAAACAAAATACCTTTGGGGAATAAACACGGGAAGGAGAAGGGAGTTTAAAACAATAGGCTCTAGTTACCCTGCAACATTACAGAGGACATCAATCCTTTCAATCTCCTTGGCCAGATTTTCTATTTGTTCTCTGCTGGTGACATCCAGCAACCGTGTTTGAATGCCTATAAAAACAAAATGGTTTTATTTTGCTTTGTTAAAAATTAATAGCCTGATTTTCAGAGGAGCTGAGCGCCTGCAGTTCCCACCGATGTCAGTGGGAGTTCACAGGTGCTGAGCAGTTCTGAATATCAGACCATAACATGGGTACCCTTGGGTACTATGGCCTTTTACCCCCACCACCCAAAAGCCACACTGTTTTGTTAAATTGTCCCAATACTGAATTGCTATAATAATAAGATCATGGAGTGCTAGTCAAGAGCCAAGAGGGGAGTTAGAAAAGACCACTGATGTTATTGTAAGAGAAGAACAACCACACGAGCAGGTGAGCTGGTGTCTTCTGAAAAGTGGAGCTAATTCCAATACACTCCCATTTCACAGAAACTCAGCCCACCAAAGCACTCATCACCGTGAATTACAATCATTACACGACCACAACAAACTCACTGGCCAATTGTAGCCACAGCTCAGGTCCCTGTTACCTAGTACTGTAATCATTATGGGTGTCACATAGACTACAGATCATGGCACATGCAATATGTTATTTGGAACCAAGAGGACTATGAGCCAGGCTTGTACAACTCATTAATGAGGAATAAGTGACTTGTGTAAGTCATTAGTCATCTTGTTACCTGGACGGGGTGAGTCATAACTATGCTAAATGGGACAGGGGGAAGTACATATGTTTGATTGTCAAAGCCCTCAGGTCGTGCACATAGTGTGGGAAATGTTGGCTAGTTTTAAAATGTACACAATGTGATGTCGATGTCTTCGGAATTAACCTATCAATATTTATAAACAAAAAATGTTTATTTTGGAAAAAATATTAATCCACCTTCCGAGCTGTTTAAAGAGGTTGCTTGGGGCCCTTTCCTGTGTGATTTAAATTTACCTTTCACACGCACAGGCAAACACAGTTGATTCCAAAATGGAGATTGCTGTGACTCTCTTCTAAACACTTTACAGTAGAGCCAGCCCCACTGTAACATTGTTACCTTAAGGTAGAAAGCACAGAATGCCATCTGCCGGCAGAAATGCAAACAGCAAAAAAATGAAACACCCTAAATTCACAGCTGATCTCCAGAAAGGCATGCCACTGTTCCAGCGCCTTCATGCAAACAACGCCCATTAAATCACCATGACTCATTTCCTGTGCACTGCTGAAAATACATTATTTTGTGGTTTTATCATCCACACCTATTTACACAGAGTTTAATAGCTACTGTGATGCTAGCCTGGTTGAGTGGAAAAATGCTGATGGAAACTAATAAATCATTCTCCACTGGAAAAACCTGCACGTCCTGAAGCCAAACTGACAAATTCATGTACATGTTCTAAAACACCTCTGGAAATTTCTCTAGGAAATATGTTAGCAAGAAAGCTAACTTCTCCCTGGCAGGCTGACTAACAGTGGTGTCTTCTCTTCTGTATTAGTTGAAAGTCCGACATATTCTAATTCCAGTCCTCAAAGGAAGAGTTGGGATTTAACAAATCATATGTCTGAAGTTCCTTTTCCCAAGACTTAGGCCTGGTCTACACTAACCCCCTAAGTCGAACTAAGGTACGCAACTTCAGCTACGTGAATAACGTAGCTGAAGGTCGACATACCTTAGTTCGAACTTACCGCGGTTCAGACGCGGTCCACACGCGGCAGGCAGGCTCCCCCGTCGACTCCGCGGTACTCCTCTCGCCGAGCTGGAGTACCGCAGTCGACGGCGAGCACTTCCCGGATCAATTTATCGCGTCCAGACCAGACGCGATAAATCGAACCCGGAAGTTCGATTTCCAGCCGTCGAACTAACCGGTAAGTATAGACCAGCCCTTAGAGGGGTAGGGACTGCGCAGAACTCTGATTCCACTTCCTGGTGTTCCTGCCAGCACAACTGGCCTGATGTGTCAAAGTAAATAACCCTACTCAGTTTGAGAATTCATGAAATTCTGAGAGGATGAATTGGAAATTCCCCAGAATGCCATGAGTCACCCAGAGGCTGTTCGCAGTAAGTCTGGCTAAGAGATTGTTATTCGGCCTTCTCAATGTCAGGAATGTATGTAAGGACCAGTGATCACTTTTATTCACTAAGTTAATTTGGAAGTATTTTCATGCTGTTTCATTGTGTATATAGGATAGATTTCACCCATACTTTTTATGTTAGACATAAAAATAAACTTGTGTTACGATTTCCCTGCCTTGTGTCTAACTAAGGAACAATGATGTGAGTTTGTGCCCATGAGTAGTCGATACATACTAGTATAGTATCAGCAGGGAGAGAACTCTTAGTCCTGAGAATTTATACAAATGTAATAGGGGGTGATTTAGTGACAGTGTAATTCACATTTAAAAGATACACCAATTCACACTAGTGAACAACTACGTTGCCATTAATGCCATTAGTTGGTCAAACTGAAATGCAGAGCACTAAATCGGATTCTTATGTAGCTAATGAAGTGAGTTCTATAGCTCAAATGAGAGAAGTTCATGATTTTAGCACTAACATCCCAAAGCTCAAGTCCCATGACTGAAACAAGAGGTAGTTAGACTTGTCAGCCAGCCCAATGGCCAGGACAAGTCAGTGAAATGGACGCTATTGTGAGAAGTGGCAGCAGTTAACAGCTTCACTAGTGCCTCGTAAAATCAGATGGATGGGGTTACTCCATGTACCCAGTATATCCTTTTTGAAATGCTGACGTTTCAGTGGAAAACTTGCACTCAAACACCAAACCTCCACATTCTGCTACAGCAGAGAAAAGACCAGATGCCAGCACGAAGGAGTAACTTGCATTATTACAGTTTCTACTGCCTTTAGAATTCTGTATTGTCCTGAGATGAAATTTGTACAAGCAGCTTACAAAATACACAAAAGAGTTGGACTTAAGTCTGTTGTAAAGCATTTACCTGAATACTCCTCCAGTTCTTGCAGCTTGGACTCACTGATGTCTGTAGCAATGACCTTTGCTCCCTCTTTTGCAAAAGCCTGAACAACACAAGCAAAAGGAACCATTAACATTTAGATATTTTAGGGTTTACCAGTAATAGAGGCTGCCTTCTCCTTTCACTTCCATCTTGGACTGAAAAAGGAGCTGGCTGAAGGCAGCGAATCGCTTGCTTTTTGTGTGCGTGTATAACAAAATTATCTGTATCTATACTTGGCTACATAGCCAAACACCCTGGTTTCAGCTGAGTGTACACAGGAGAGAGGGGAACAGAACTTATGATGTTTATCCCCCAAACCAGGAATCTGTAATTAAAGCAGCGGGTCCTGTTACTTGACCCAGTTGAAGGAACAGATATACACCAGAGTGTGCTTGATACACTGTCTCTAGTAAGGGCAGCACCTGTATTAGACAGTAGGTTACAAACGTGTAGGGCAGTAGTCCCCAACGTGGTGCCCACGGGCGCCATGGCGCCCGCCGGGGCATTTATGTGCGCCCGCCTACTGACAAGAGAGCGCTTCCGCCAGACAACCCGCCGCCGAGGAGTGCGGCCGCCGGACAACCAGCGGCCGAAATGCCGCCGAGAAGCGGCAATGCCAAGAAACGTCGCCGCCGAAATGCCGCTGCTTCTCGGCGGCATTTCGGCAGCGGCACTTCTTGATGACGTCGGTTCTCGGCGGCATTTCTGCGGTGACCCTTCTCGATTACGCTGCTTCTCGGCGGCATTTCGGCGGCTGGTCGTCTGGTGCCCGCCACACTCTTCTGGGAACATGAATATGCTATTGCAACAGAAAGGTTGGGGACCATTGGTGTAGGGGCTGATCCTAAGCTGCTGAAAATCAATGCAGCATTAAAGACTTGAGTGGAGCTGTGCCAATTTGCAACAGCTGAGGATCTGACCCACAGTTTATAGAAAATGAGTGCTTTTGTATAGTGCTTCACATCCAAATCATTGAAGAGTGCACTACTTAGAGAAACAACTTATTAATGGTTCTGTTCATTACATTCAACAGAATCAGGTAGCTATTCCTGAGAGATACCCTTTAATACAAGGGAACCCTCATAAGCACCTGTGTCTATTGAGAGAAAACTACTTGCTCTGCTCCTCAGAGTGAGTTGTTGACAAGTGACTGCTATACAACAGACTCATCTGCTGATCACAGAAGCAAGAAGCTCTCAGAGACACACTACCCCCAGTAAGTGGCAGTAATGCAGTTTCTGAGAGTACCTATCTATAACTGTGGTGCATCTCTAGAAGGTCAGGTATGCCACTTCCATCTGTAGCTGATCGCAAATTTACAAAGCAAATTCATTAGGAAAAGGAATGTGTTTTACAAATAAGCTATTCCCAGTGAAAGGGTGTTTTAATGCAAGTGACAGGATTAGCAGTCCCCTGGCAAAGCCTGTGAAAATCAAAGTTTGTGACAACTAGGTATCTTTCATTGCATGTCACATGCTAGCTTTGCTAGTCCCTCTCTATAATTCACCACAGGCAAAGCCATCTTTGGAGAGTAGAGCTGGTCAAAAGTAGAGAAAAATAGAAGAACACCAGTATGCCCAGCCAACCCAGCCGAGAAGATCTTGGGGAAGGCTATTTATAGAGCAGCAGGGAATTTTGACAATGTGACTCTTGAGTGAATTTTTCCAGAATGGAAGCAAGGCTCTCATGGTGTAGCAGTAACATTTTTTTTCCCCATGTGCTTTTCACGGAAAAGTTGAAGGACTTGGCTTTTGATTTAATTTCCAGTTTGATAATAAAAGACAGTTCAGTACAGGTCTCATTGGGCTAATCAAAATAGCAAAGCTAGCAAGGAACTAAGAGGGGGAAAAAGAAGAATGAAGCTTTCCAGACTTACTATAGCAGCTGCTCGTCCAATCCCTTGTGCGGCTGCAGACAGCAATATTACCTTCCCATCAAGCCGACCCATGCTGCCCCCTGTAGGTATTTAAACATGTTCTGTGACATCTCTCAAAAGGAAAAGGAGTTAACACCAGCTCCAGGGACTCAAAAACAGATGAATTCTATAACTGAACAGGTGACTCAGAGCATCTATGACTAGAGAGAACTGGAGAGTGCCTTGTTCTTCCCACAAGATAAGAAACGTTTTCAGTATGCCTATTTCATACATTGGATTAGAAAATGAGAACTTTTAAAGCAAAAGCTTTAAAACAGGACTTGCCTGATCCCTGTAGGCAGATCGGAGTCTCCAGTGCCCTTTAGCAGAGTGTGACGTTATCAGCAAAATGCCTGATGGGCTACCACACTGAGCAGTTGAACACTGTACAACAAATATTGGCATCATCACATTGGATGTGCAATCAGTCTGAGCTGTGGACTGTTTCTCAAGAGACCAAGGATCTGAGATCAGAGTTGAAAACTGAGGGAGAATTATCATGCCAGACCTCCTGGTTATCTCAGCCATGGCTTTATTTTAGAGGTGTCCCTTCAATAAAGGGAAGCTATGATATGTCACAGGCATTTTGTCATTAGTTAATAACATCAGCAGAACAAATTCAGGGTGGGATTTTCAAAGATGCCTAAGAGATTTGGATGCCCCATGTCCATTAGAATTTAATAGGAATTAGGTGTCCAAATCCCCTTGGCAGGTTTGAAAGTCTCAACCTTAAATTGCTATGAATAATATATATACTTTTGAGAAGCGAGATGAAGTGAGTCTGCACCCCTGGACTTCAGATTAATTTGATACTATCCTGAAATGCAGACTTTTCAGCACTTCTGTAGGAAGTTGTAGGATTATTTTAATTGAAATAAATCTATCAGAAGTTAAAAGTGAATTTTAATGCCTATTACAAGTAGTAAGTGTACTCATGACCAGCTAGTGTGGGTAGGATGTGTGCATGCAAGCTCTCTGATGTTCTGGGACTCTCTGCAGTTCTGGGAAGGCTTACCAGCTACCAGTTATACCAAGTTGGTGACTTTCATAAAGTCCAAGCTTCCAAGGCCAGAAGGGACCATTGTGATCATGTAGCCTGACCTCCTGCATAGCACAGGCCATAGAACTTCCCCAGAATAATTCCTAGCTCATAGGCTGAGTGAAGCAAGTCTGTCTACAGAGGTGTAATGTGATAGCTTTTGAAAACCCCAACTGATCAATTTGAAAATTTCAGGGAATGTTCTAGGTATCAATGGGAAGAACATTATTAATTTTGGTGAGAATCCAAAAACCAGAAAAGCCTGATTTCCACTGATTTCACTGATTGCCTACAGCACCAAATGGGCTAAGCTCTCTGATGCCCTCTGTACTGCCTATACAGATCACAGACAGCAGCTTCCTAGGCACTACAGAGCTGTATACCCAGCCAGGCCCCTGGGCAGTGCTGGGGTCCTCAAAAGAGAAGTCCCAGAATTCATGGAGGTGCTGGCCATGCACACCACGAGGCGGGGCAAATCTCCTCTCATTTCAGTGTTGCCAGTTCAGTGATTTTGTCGCTCAGTCCAGCAGCGTTTTAGGTCTGCTTGAGATTTTTTGAGTTTTGCCTCAACAAGTCGCTAAACTGTGACCTTTAATCAAATCTGGTGACATCCTGGTGACGTTGCTACATCTAGCGACAAAATGGCTAAACTGGCAACACTGGATAGAAGGTGGTGAGAGCTATGAGGGGGAGGGGAGGATGCCAAGGGGGACTGAGGGTTAGGCAAGGGGAGGGCAGAGGATATATTGCAGGTTCGCAGTAGGGGGTAGAGAAGGGGTATACAGTATTTGGGCAGAGAGCTGGGGGCAGGAAAGGGGAGATATTGGGGTCTGGGGAATGACGATATTGGGACTGAGGGCAGAGGGATATTGGTTGTCAGGGGAGAATAAGTGGCTTGTAATTGGTGGGGAGAGAGTGATCAGGGAGTCATGATCAGCCAGAAGAGCGGGAGCCTAGCCAGTGGGCCTGTGTGCTCTGTGTGGGGAGACTGGAGGGTCCCTGCTCCCTTGCAGGGAGCTAAGTGGCTTGTGTGGGGGTAGCTCTGGGCTGCTCCCAACTGCTGGCCCCAGAGAGCTCGGCTGTGGGATGCTTCTCCAGGATGTGCAGTACAGCCCCTACCCTTCACCCAATCAGGGCTTCCTGTATCTGGAGGTGAAGATGCCGGGTTGAGGGGTATGAGCAGATGGAGAGATGGTGGCTGAGCCAGGTCCAGACTCTGGAGGGTCCCCTTTGGCCCAGGCTCCCTGCTCTGGAAGGAGATGGCCGCTGGGTAACCAAGCTGTCTGCCATTACTCCTTCTGGAATGGGCCCAGATGCAGAAGAGGCAGAGGAGGCAGCATAAGGAGATGGTGCCTCTGCCACACAGTATGGACCATCATCTCTCCTTCCAGAGCAGGAAGCCGAGGTCCAGCCCCGGCTCTATGTTCCAGAAGGAGAGATGGTGGCTCAGGAATTAGAAGTATTGGAACACTGTCCCAGTGCCTCCAAAAATGTACCAGAATGTCATTCTGGAGTGTCCCAGAATAACTCAAGCACTGCCTCTGGCTTCCTCCCACTCCGTCCAGCCCCCACCTTACTTCCCAATTGCACTAAAAATAAGTTGGATAATGCACAGAGCTCAGCCAACATAAGCAATGAAGAGTGCGGCCCTACCAATAATGTGGTAGCTTGGCAGACTATATGGGCATTAGGAACTAAACTGATAATATCCGGTAATTTTGCTTTTGCTTTAGGCCAGATTTTACACCATGTCTCCAGCTATCAAGGCTTAATGCACTCGGATACTGCCCATTTCCCACCACTAGAGAAACGAGAGCATGTAAGTATATAAACGTACAAATCAGTTTCTCAACCTCGTAGTCACAGCTTTCCTGACTGTTATTCCAGGTGAAACTAACAGGATGAAACATACGAGGCTGAATAAAGCCACTCACCTCAGGATCTCCACAGCCAGCTTTCAGGGTTCACCGACCCTTGTACCGGAGAAAAGTACAAGGTTTCAGAGTGCATGCTGGGTGCTGTAGTTCTGCTGGTGAATTGCTGTTCAAGACAATACCGTTCCCTGTTGAAAAGTTGAGATGCTGCCATCTAGTGAGGCTTGGGATATAAAAACAGTTATTGTAGCTCAAGAGAAGAAGTGAAGATTGTCAGCTTTACCTGGCAATTACTCTAAATAACAACAACAACAAAACCAAACAAACAAAAAACCCCCCCAACCAACCAAAAGCAAACAGTGAATGAATATGCTTTCCCCCAGTAATTTGTATTGACTGTATATCAGTCATCAGAATCCCAAAGAGAAAAGAATACACAATACATATGTAATAAAATTTTGCTGATAGAGCAACAGAAGGAGATGCAGAGGATGCTGCATGGATTCCAGGAGAGGCAGCAAACAGAATGACGAGCCCCGTTGGGATGGCAGGAGGCACAACAGCGGGTGTTTCAGGAGTTTGTGAAGGAACGGATCCAGGTACTGCAGCAGTTAATACAGAATGTGACAAGTCCTGCCTCGGGGAAAGAGAAGCTGGGAGCGGGGGTGCTGAGACTCTGTGGAATGGGCTCTGGGGATGATCCTGACATGTTCCTATTGACTTTCAAAAGAATTGTGACTGGTGTGGGCTGGGTTAAAGGATTATGGGCCCTATGCTTAGCCCCTTATCTGGTGGCAGAAGCCCAAGCTGCTTATATGTCAATGAGTGAGAAGCAGGCCAAGAACTACAATGTGTTAAAGGCTGCCATATTGGACCATGTAGGCTTGGCAACTGAAAGATACCAGCAGAAATTTAGGACAGGCAGGTGGACTGATGGGGTAAGGCTGAGAGAGTTTGTGCAGAAGTGGAATGATTGGGCCAACTGATGGCTAAGGCTGAGAGAACAAAATGTGGAAGCGGTCCTGGAAACTGTGATATTAGAGCAGTTTATGCAGAATCTCCTGGATACCACTAAGGCCTGGGTGAGGACACACCCACCAGAGACAATGGAGGCAGTGATAAAACTGGCGGAGGGATATGTTGAAGTGGATTTTCCAAGGAAAGTGGCTGGTCTGACAAGTGGGGTAAAAAGGAAAAAGGACAGTTACATGTTCCGTAACTGGCGTTCTTCGAGATGCAGCCCCCTTTATAGCATGATATGTCGGCGCCACTCCAGGGGTCGCAGCGGTGCTCCCCCACTATGGATGCTGCTAAGGGAAAAACTTCCAGCACCGGTGCACGTAGTGAGCACGCACACCTACTGTGGAATACACAGGAGCAATCACTCGAAGAAGAAAAGAGGAGATCCTCAAGCACTAAGACCCAGGAGCGTGAAGCAGAAGAGGAAGGCTACTTTGGCTGGCAGGGAGACAACCTACTATCAGCATCGGGGAAAGGCCACAGTAAGCAGGGTTGCCCGTATATGGAATGTGGACTGAGGGAATATTGTGGTTGGACTGGGGTGATGGGGAGCACTAAGGGAGAAAAACAATTCCTGGAAGGGTGACCTGAAGACCAGAGATGAGGGTTATTGATTCAGCAGCCAGTTTTTTTTTTTTGGGGGGGGGGGGGGGGGAGAGAATGCAGAGCCTCCCGAGTTTGCAAAAAACATATCCCATAGCGGATTATGAGGGGTTCTCTCCTCCTTGGGCATCATGCTCCTGGTTGAGCCCTCACATGGGTGCTCATACTGGCATTTCCTAAGTTATTACTTCAGTCTGCAACCTCAATAATGGCCTTTTAATGTAGCTTTGTATGTGTAATGTCCTAGGTTTTTAAAAAAAAAGCAAATTGAAAAAACAAATTCCAGCACGTGGCATCACATTGAGCTGTGATTCATCCGCAGGATTGGAACCTGCTACGGGAGCTAATGGAGTAACTGATAACAGTAGTAAGTTGCCATCCTCTACGTGGACCAGCACTGGAGGGGATGAGACACTTTACCAGAGGGTTTCACAGCCATTTATGGAAGCAGAGGAACAGCAAGACTCAAGCATGTGGGTTCCATTCCAGACTCTGGAAGGGAGTAATAGTGTGTACAGATTCTTTTGCCCCTGTCCTTCTCTTCCCTGTCCTGGCTCCTTGTCCCAGTCTCATTCTCCTCACTTATCCATTCCAAGTCTCCATTCTTCAGACTTCTCATCTCAGTCCCAGACTCCTTGCATTGTCTTCCCCCCTTCATCTCACTCTGTTGTTTCCAACCTTACTCCCCAGCTCCTTGTCCCTAGTGTCCTTGCCAGCCAATCCAAATCTCATCCCCTGTACTCCCTGACAGTATCCTTGCCCAACTATTCCCTGCTCCTGAGCCAAGCTTGTTTCTTTTCTCCCTGCCCTCTTGATTCCCTCAACTCACATCCCCACTAACTCCTGGATCTCTTTTGGGGTCCATGTCCAATTTCAGTATGCCCCCCCCAGCCTAACTCCATGTCCCACTCTGCACATCCAATTCCAGTTCTCTTCCTCCTGCACTCCGGCTCCTGATCAGATGTTTCCCCTATCTCCTGGCCCCCTAATCCCCAGTCAACTTGCCCAGCCTGTCCCAGTCACCCACTGCCTATCTCAGTCTGTTCCTCTCCAGGCTCGTCACACTACTCACCCTGCCCATGCAGATTCCACCGTTGCCCCCTCTGCATTCGATTCAGGTGGCTTTCTCCTCCATTCTGCCTGAGCCCAGAAGTGGGAGTACTGAAAGCACAGGAGAGAGAGGCTCCCTGCTCAGTTCTGGACCCAGCATGGCCCAGAACTCCAAATGCAGGGGGAGTCCTGCTCAGCCCCAGACTACAACATACACAGTACATGAAATCTTTGGGAAAATAAAGTTGTGAAGCCCTAGCAAGTCTCTACGGAACACGTGCAAATTGCAGTTTTTCAGACTCTTAACTTGGCCAAATTTGGGCAGATCATCATATGGATGGCAAAAGGCACATCCCTGGTACATAGGCCACCCCTACCAAATTTCAACTCCTTGCTCCAAAGCATGGGGATGCTGGAGTTTCTCAAAATAAAAGGTTGCCTGTATTTTTTTTAAATGGGCAAAAACATGGGTCAATGAGCTGCTTGACCGGCGGGGGTCTGCCAATTACCTTTCCATCCTAGAGCAAACCAAGGGCTACTGGCAGGTCCCCCCAACAAACAAAGCATGGAAGAAAACTGCATTCTTCACACCCTGGAGGCTGTACCAATTTATAATGATGCCCTTCAGCCTACATGGAGTGATGCGACTTTCCAGCGTCTAATGGACTGGGTACTACAGCCACATGGGGTGTACGCTGCAACATACATAGACTACATCATTTACAGCCAGGACTGGGAAGACCATCTTAAACATGTCATGGCCGTATTGTAGATGTTGAAGGTGGCAGGGTTGATGGCGAACCCAGACAAATGCCATCCGGGGCAGCAGGAGGTGACATCTCTGGGCTACCGCGTGGGAGGAGGAAAACAAAGACCCCTGGTCGACAAAGGACAAGCCCAGGCAAAGTGCGTTGTTTCTACGACCAAGCAGCAAGTGCACCAGGTTTGGCCTCACAGAGTACTATTGATGATTCTTCCCGGCATTTGCCATGATCGCAATGCCCCTAACTGACCTGGTGAAGAACAGCGCTAGAAGGTCCCGTGGTCAGCAGCCTGTGAAATGGTCTTCTGGGAAGTGAAGGAGAGGCTGAGCCAGGAACCCGTACTCACCCATCTGGACTTCACCCCTGAGTTCACTCTTCAGATGGATGCCTCAGAAGTGGTCCCGAGTGCAGTGTTGTCCCAGAACACTGACGGGGAGGAGCACCCCACAGTATACCTCAGCAAGAAATTGTTTCCACGAGAGACATCCTACTCAGTCATAAAAAAGGAAGTCCTCCTGGTGAAATGGGCTGTGGATGCGCTGAGCTATTATCTGTGGGGGAACTCCTTCAAACTGGTGACCATGCCCTAGTACGTTGGCTGAACACCATGAAAGACACCAACTCTAGGCTAATGAGATGGTATGTCTTGCTACAGCCCTATAGCTTTGAAATCCTTCACGGGGCTGGGAAAAACATTAAGAAGACCAATTTCTTTTCGGGGAGGGAGAGGGAGGATTTGCCTGATAAAGCCCCACAGCAGAACCTGAGGGGGAGGGTGTGTGCTAGAGTATATTAACCCCTTACTTGCTGCTAGGCGAGACCCCCCCCATCACTCAGCTATGACCAGTAGGCAGGAGCCTCCTGCCACGTCCCCCAATGACACAACAAGAAACGGCAATAGTACAATGACCAATTCTAGTTTGACTGCCTATATGCATATAACAATCTTTATTGACAAAGGTAAAATTACTCAGACCAAAATCAACTGTGCACTGCAGATATGAATTAGAGACTTTTTAAAAACACAGCCTTGATTGTGAGCTCATAAATAGAATATTATATATAAACTGGTTAAATGAAGTTGAATGAGAATGCTATTCCCCATCCTAGAAAAGTCACATATAAAACTTGAAATAACACTGAACACTAGAAAAAGAGTAGCAGAAAAAGTTCTCTCCACTTTCCTTATGGACTTCCAAGATTAAACTGATTGCCCTTGGGAGGGTTGTCTTAGGAGTGAGATGGGAAAGTTTAACATTGATAAGTTTCACAGTAGAGATTCTCTGATTTGTGATCCATTCCAGTTTTCATTTCCTCTTCAGCTGGCTGGCTTTGTTATCTTTGCCATCACAAGAGGAGCAATGCAGAACTGCTACGGTGAGACCATCAGCTGGATGCAGGCAACACTATTGTCACATTTTTGTATTCCAGCTTTTCCAGTTACTTGCTTAGTTCCTGCTCCAAGAAAGCTTCTTCCCACTGGCTACAGTTAAAACATACCAGCTACTTCTGTAGCACATGTCTTCTCTATATGCAATCTCTGACTTTATCCACTAGCAAGGACAGTGAGCAATAACAGGCACCTTTACTGGGTTGTGCAGTCAGGT